GCAGCCTGAGGCCCACACCAGATGCAGCTGTCCCAGAATCGTAAGCCAAATAAACCTCTTTATAAATTACCCAGTTCTTTATAAATTACCCAGTCTCAGGTACTCTGTTTAGCAATGCAAAACAGACTAATACACCGCTCAGAGGATGACAGGATGCTTCAAAAGCCTCTGTTCTCTTGCTGGGGGAGGCTTGTTTGTGAACTACGATGGCCGCATATTAGCCATGTCTAAACACCTCACTTCAAGTTACTTCAGCGGAAGGATTCAGCCAGTGCTGCAGGAAACAGGTGGAAGAGAGGGGTCAGGACAAAAAGCTGATGGGGCAGGGTGGGTGTGAAGGAGCTGGTGGTGGCTGCTCATCATTCTTATCACACAGGAGTCTTAGTAGAACACTGAACACTAAATGCCAAAATTGTATGAAATTACACATTGTCCATAAATTCTCTCTCACACAAATCTCATATTTTTATGACAAAATAGATAGTATCGAACATGTCAGCATGGGTCTGCCTGTGTGCAAAGAAACAGATAAGTAATCCTGCAACTTGTGATGGTACCCATGGATGCCTGTGAATTCTGGGGCTCTCAATTTCCTGGTCAATGATTACTGCCTTATGTGGAATTTTCATCTCATCTGCTTCTTTCAGCTACTCATATATTTCTACCACTGCTCAGGCATTGGCTAGGCTATCCCTTCCCATTCCCTGAAATGGGATACTTCCCACAATTTACCAAAGGATACAGCTCAGTATTAGGCTAGGTCCCTGAACCATGGGTGGAAAACTTGGCCCAATGAACACAAGCTCCAAGCCCAGAAACAAACTTAAAAACTTGTGAGTTCTGTAAGGTCTTGGCAGAAGCAAACACTAGATCACTTCATAGTGAGGTTGCCAAAAAAACTCAAGACTCATAGAGCTTTCCTGGGAAGATGAATCTCAATGAAAAGGAATTTGCAAGCAAAAATTACTAAGCATGGGAAGAAACAAAATGGTATAAACAATAAACCAGAGGGTTTACCATCAGTGAACTAGTGGTGATAGAACTCTCTGAAAAGGACTTTACATTTGTTTAATATGTTCAGAGATTAATATTAGCTCTACTACATAAACATGGAAAATGACAACCATAAACCCTAGAATTAACAATACAGCTACTAAAGTAAAAAGACCACAATAGGGAAGTAAAATTAGAATAGACACAGCCCAAGAAAGAATGAATTGTTGAATATTTTTTGAGTTGCTTCTTTTATCATTCAGAATCATCCTCAGTCTCTCTTAATGCTTTTTCCCATGAATTCTATTTTATCTGATATTTTTATACCCATCTTTTTAAATTGAAGAACATACAGAGAAATGCATAAATCATTTAATGTGTGGTTTTATGAATTATCACAAAACACATATTCAGTATCCATCACCCATATCAAGGAAGAGAAAATTACTAGCACCCCAAGGTTCCCTTCGTCCTCTGTCACTACTTCGCCCTCCTCCAAGGTACTTACTTCCCTTCTAACAACGTACATTACTTTGCTTTGCTGGATTTATAACTTCTTTTTTTTTTTTGGTGGCTGGCCTGTATGGGGATCCAACCCCTCAACCTTGCTGTTATAATACCAGTCTCTAACCAACTGAGCTAACTGGTCAACCCTGGATTTTTAACTTTAAAAGAGGAGTCACAGTTTGAACTCTTGCTTCTTTCACACAAATCTGAGATTCATCCCTGTTGTCACACGCAGTAGTTTGTTTTTATGTTGTAGAGTATTCATTCCATTGTATGAATGTACCACAGTTTAGGCATCCATTGATAAACCTTTGGGTTGTTTCCAAATTGTGAAAATGTGCTATGATGTATAATGCTTCTGTGATCCTTCTCGTAACTGTATCCTGGAACACAGACACACTAGTTTTTCCAGGCTCTTTACCAGGGACGAGATTGCCAGGTCAGAGAATATACATCACTTCAGCTTTAACAGATACAATATGTCAAAGCCATTACCCAAATGGATGATTCAATTTGCACTTTTTACAAGCAGGGTATGAGACTTCCTGTGTGTCACATCTTTGATAGCACTTGATGTTTTCAGGCTTTTTTATTTTACCCAATCTGTAGCTGTGTAGTGATATCTCTTTGGTTTAAGTATTCATTTCCCCCTTTCCTAAGGAGGTTGAGCACCTTTTCATAAATACATTGGCCACCTGGATTTCCTGCTTTGCGAAGTACCTAGTCAAGTCTTTCACCCATTTCTTTATTGGGATGNAATGGATGATTCAATTTGCACTTTTTACAAGCAGGGTATGAGACTTCCTGTGTGTCACATCTTTGATAGCACTTGATGTTTTCAGGCTTTTTTATTTTACCCAATCTGTGGCTGTGTAGTGATATCTCTTTGGTTTAAGTATTCATTTCCCCCTTTCCTAAGGAGGTTGAGCACCTTTTCATAAATACATTGGCCACCTGGATTTCCTGCTTTGCGAAGTACCTAGTCAAGTCTTTCACCCATTTCTTTATTGGGATGCCCGTTCTTAGAGGTTTGCAAGAGTGTTTGATATAGTCTTGCCATGAGTCCATTATCATTTATATGTGTTGCAAACATCTTCTTTTCCTTTGGTTTGCCTTTCATTTTATTTTTTTTATTTTTCACCTTTGACATTTACATCTCTACTCTATCTGGGATTGTTTTTGTGTATGGTTTGAAGATGACTTACAGTTTAGTTTTGTTTTTTTTATATGGATGCTTCATATTTAGGGATCCCTTACTGAAAAGATGGCCTTTGCCCTACTGGTCTCAGTGTCATCCTAAACCAAGTGACTGTATCTAAATGTGGGATTGATTCTGGGTTCTCCCTTCTCTTTCATTGGCCTGTTTTGCCATCCTTGTGCCAATACCACGTCTTAGGTACTGCAGTGTGCTGAAGTCTTGATATCCAGTGGAGCAAGTTTCCCACATTGTTTTTATTTACGAGGGCTGTATTAGTCCATTTTGTGTTGCTTATAACAAAACATATGGAACTGGGTAATTATGAAGAAAAGT